GTCTTTGCAGAGTTAGACGTTGGGTGCTAACTCGCTTGGTTCTCCTTGTTGCTAGAAAGCTAGTTGCAAAACTTGTGCTTGCACCTCTAAAGGCCCATTTCCACTGAAGTTCCTGGTACTGTTTGGGGGGCAGGAACTACTACAGGAATGTCCTCTCGCTCGGCCTTCTCAACCGCCGTGTCTCTACTGAGAGAGCAGAGTAGGAGGAAGGTTCCTGTAGTTACCGGGCTCTGGATGTGACGTAATCGTTGTGCGCCCATTTTGACCGGGGGGCGACGTAGGGGCGTAGGGACGCCGTCAGCCGTTAGCGGTGTCTGTAATAACTCCGGTCACGGTCCGTGAAAAAAATATTTTTTCCAGCGGATGTCTTAGTTACAACATGATTGAGCTAACTGGAGTAGTTTCATGTCGTATCCAACAAAGGGAGGCTTTTAACAGATGACGTCCTGATGTTAACTTTGGTGCTGCTGCCAGCTGCAGCCACTAATGCTTTCTAGACATCGTGATTTCCCAAAACTGAATAAATACCAGACATAGCAACACAAAACTGCTTTGCTAGCTCAGTCATGTTGTAACTAAGATATCCTCTGGAAAAAAATTTTTTTTCACAGATCGTTTATTGAGTTATTACAGATACTGCTAACAGCTAACGGTTAGCCCAGCTAATCTATGATAACCATGTTATTAATTACAAAATGTCACATCCCGCCTTGAGTATATCCAATCAGCACCAAGTAATCCCCAAGCCCCAGCCAGGAGTTTCTCGGGGCCGTTCTGAGTAACTACTCCGAGGCAGGGACTTGTTTAGCCCCTGTAAAAGTTCTGGAACTCTGTCACGCACCAACGGCCCCGGCCTCATTAAATTACCCCGAAGTTCCTGCAGTGGAAATGGGCCTTAACTTTCTGGTTCGGGTTAGAGAGTCTGTGATCAATTGTCCCACTTTTGATGGTTCAGGGCAAGGAGCAAGGGTTTGAGTATCTGGGCTGGTCCAGGCCCAGCCGGAAAGAGAGGTGTGGGCTGCTTGGCAGCTCCAGAGTAAAGAGCGAATATTGTCTAAAGGGAGCAGACCTTCTACAGATGCCTGTGACATCACAGAGTCACATGTCACTGTAAAAGTCCTGTCCAATCAAGTTTTGAGACTTGAGTCTCACTGAGGTGTGAGGTGAGACATCCTGGAGATGGGTCTCAAATAGCTGTCTTTGTTTGGAGAACAAAGAGCATGCAGAGAAAAAAGCCTTTACATGTCCAGTTTAGATTTTACCAAATGACAAATCATCTGTGGTCCTGTGAATCCCAACATTTGTGACTACTGTAGTCATTTGACCCAGGTGTGACCAGTTGCCTTTTGGGAAAGTGTTTAATAATAACAATAATAATATTAGTAATTTTATTTGTATACCACTTATCTAAACAAGGTTACGAATTGCTTCACAAAGTAGGCTACATGAAAATAAGACAACAAAAACAATACAGTATTTTTTTTTTAAATGTTAAGAGCTCAGAAACACACATAAAACGCAGAAGTTACAGATCAAAAAGTACAAATCAGGCATTAAAAGGGAAAGCTTTCCTATAAATATTTGTTTTAAAGGAGCAATAAGCGAAATTCATCATTTCTAGATTGAAGGAATTAAAAAATTGCTATGTGAAGAACTAGAGGTGCAATTTCATCTGGAGTATCCACCTTATTTTCAAACACGGAAGTAAATAGTGATCAACTTCCGTGTTTTTGTGCATGACTTCCGGTCAGCCGCTTTCCCTCATGCTTTCCCTTACCGGAGCTAACGGTGCAAGCTTTTTTTTCAATTGTTTATGTTAGTCAATAAGTTAGTTAGTTAGTTAGTTAGTCTGTGTATTTTATATAGATAACTGTGCCCACGTTTCCGTTATCCGGTAATTGCCGTTAAAAATAATTCCCTCTAAGCGCGAATAAATCGCACGTCAATCAAAAACTATGAACCAAAAAAGCACAATCTATCCCGAGTGAGACAAACTGCTTGATCCCCGTCTCCAGTGTACCAGCAGAGAACCTGCAGAACCGAATCAGCGAAAAAACACACCGGGCTAAGCCTCTCTACCTGAGCAGCTGAAGCTGCGGCTCACACCCTCGACACACAGACACACAGACGGTGCTTCTGCATGCCAGCCACACGTGTGCGCAACTGTGAGAAATAAATATGCGAGGTGTACGCTGCTTTTCTATCTTTTTTTCCCTTTTCTTTCTTTCTTTCTGTCAGCGACATACACTCCTAACACAGGACGGGTTGTTTTTATTGACTGAGTTGATTATTAAGCCATAGTGATGCGCGGATCGGCTCTGATAGCACCTGAATCAGCATGTACGCATCAACCATCCAGCCGTTACAACATGATTGAGCTAGCAAAGCAGTTTTGTGTTGCTATGTGTGGTATTTATTCAGTTTTGGGAAATCACAATGTCTAGAAAGCATCAGTGGCTGCAGCTGACAGGGACAGCTAACGTTAACACTAGCAGCAAAGCTAACATCAGGATCGTCATCCGTTAAAAGCCTCCCGTTGTCGGATACGACATGAAACTACTCCAGTTAACGCAATCATGTTGTAACTAAGACATCCGCTGGAAAAAATATTTTTTTCACAGACCGTTTATTGAGTTATTGAGTTATTACAGGCACGGCTAACAGCTAACGGTTAGCCCAGCTAATCTACGATAACCATTGTGTTTATAGACTTTACAAACATCAGATTAGTCTAAACGGTGATAGAGTGACGTGCCCTTGACCCTCCCTCCCTATAAAAGGCTACAGCCAGTGAGCAATGGCAGCGCGTATTTTCGAAGTGAAATGGCAGAGTCAAATGTCTGTTTTAATTAGTGTTACGGTAACATTAGGTACATGTCGCTATGTCATTTCAATTAAATTTAATGTTAGAATCATAGCATGGGTTAATGTCCGGAGCTTGAGTTATTAGCGGCTCGGTCCCAGCAATGGGTCAGGCATTACGGTTGTGTTAGGTGAGTAGCCCGGCAGCCCAGCTAACATTTACAATTAGCATTGTAAAATGTAGCCTGGCAGGCACCCTGGCGGGCTGTGTTTAGCTATTCCCCTGCCTACTTCAATGATGATGGTCCCTGTATTAAATGTAATATATTTGCCGAGATGGAGGCGAGGCTCAGTGACTAGAAGAGCTGGTAGAAGAACTCCATATCTGTAAGTTACTCCAGTAGCCGTAGTAGCTCTAATGCTAACTCCAGGGGCTAACGCTAACTTCCCTACTCTGCGTGAGCCGGAGCCATGAGCCACGGGTTCACGGAGAAGAGTAGGAACGTTAGCGTGGCAGCCGACTAGTGCTAACGCTAATAGGGATGGGCAACACAAGCAAAAACAGTATTCAAAAATATTGAATATTCAAAAAGTATTCGACAATTTTTCGAATAATCGCCTCATCTCACACGGAGCATCTCACACCGCTGTAGCAATCCTAGACTGCCCTCGTGCGGTTAGGAGCTGAATTGCATGTCAAATAAATAAATAAATTTAGAAAATCAAAAATCGTGACCCATCCCTAAACGCTAACGTCCCTACTCTTCTCCGTGAGCCTGGCGGGCTCACGGCTCCGGCTCACGGAGAAGAGTAGGGACGCAAGCGTGGCAGCCATCTAGTGCTAACGCTAACAGGAAAGCAGGGAAATAGCTAAACACAGCAGAGACTGAGAGTGAGTGAAAGACATCGCTAACTGCTAAACTAAGCCAAACTAAGTTGGCTGTTTAGGTTTTATTTCCTCGCCCCTGTGGCGAGTGAATCTGCCTGTAGTGAAACCGGGGCTAACCGGTGCTTCTTCCTCAGGCTCCACTTCACTCAGTTGCCAGCATAGCCAGTTAGCCTCCGCTAGCTTCTCAGCTAACGTTAGCCCCAGCTCTCCGTTTGGATCCAACCGGAGCACCGAGCCCTGGTTTGTTATTCAGGTTAATGTGGGAAGAAGCAGCGGGTTTATCGGGCAGCTGAGTGAAGTGGAGCCTGCGGAGGAAACACCGGGACCGTCTGGATGTAATAGTCCGTGGAGATGCTGCGGTGCTCGACTGCACAGACGAGGCAAGTGGGGTGGGAGGTGGAGAGCAGAGGTAGAGGGAAGCTTTGTTTTGGTCTACAGGCAGTGCACAACAGCAAACCTAGCAGTGAAACGATTTCGCTTTTTGCCCCTTTAAGCAATGAATTTAAAACAGGTAATGTGCTAGCTAGCCTAATCTCTAAAAGAATTTCAGAGCCTCAGGGCCTTGATGGCAAAAGCCCGGTCACCTTTAATTACCACCCTTGATATAGAGACAAATAGTGAGGGTAGGCTTGAGGATCTCCGGTCACAACTTGGAACATAGATAGTCAGAAGCTCAATTATATAACTGGGGGCTAAACCATGTTGAGCTTTAAAGTTATTAAAAGAATCTTAAAATCAGTTCTGAGGTTAACTGGCATCCAGTGGAGGGAGGCGAGAATTGGGGTAATATGTGACCTATGATTTGTCCCAGTTAAAATACGAGCTGCAGCATTCTGTACTAGTTGAGGCCGAGCTACTAAAGATTTACTGAGGCATGTAAACAGTGCATTCCAGTTGTCAAGGCGCAAGAATTCAAAAGCATGAATAAGTTTTTCAAGGTCAGGAAAAGGCCCAGCTTGTTCAGTGTTCATACAGTGCAATACAGAACTGTTATAATAATAATAAATAATTTTGCCAGTGGACAAAATGCTCTGTCCAGCAAGAGGATTGTGCCTGTCTTTGACATGCATTTATTCTTATGTAGTTGGACTTTTTTCTGCTGTACCAAATTCACACCAAACCGTGACTTATATGCATTGTTACACCTCCAGTAACCACTTCAGTTTTCAACCACTGTTGTTGCAGCTTGGTATGTTGTCATTGATAGGGACAAATATCAGCTTCAGCCTTAGAAACTTTATTCAATATCATTCACATAGAAACCCCCAGCAACTCATCAAACTGTTTTGTAACCTTCCTCTCGTTGCAGGCTCAGTCCCTGACCCCTCCAGACTACAACCTGCGCTGGTCAGGTCTGATTGTTACAGTGGGTGAGGTCCTGGAGCGCAGCCTGCCCAACATCAACAGTACAGACTGGCATCAGACCATGACGGGCATGACCCTTCACCAGATGATCCAGAGTGCTGCCAAAGCTCTTGCTGGAATCTACAAACAGCAGCTGCCACCCAGAACTGTGTGAGACCGAATAGCTCCAGTTTCTGTCACATACTGGGAGGAGATGCTGGAGGAAAAAGTAGCTGATGGAACAGCAAAGCTCCTTGTATCTCTCCATCCATTCTCATCTGTCCTTCCGCTGCAAAGCCAAATGCACATTTCTTTTAAAGTTCTTGATGTATTTGCTCACAAATGTTGGCAAGGTTTTTCTGAGAGGCCATTAGATATCAAATCATTACTTGTCCACTCAGGCTTTAAAGAAGACTTAACCATTAACTAATGATCTCATCATCCTCATTTAGATATTATTAAACATTGTGTATATTAGTATCAGCAACCTTAGCACATATTGTGGCATTATTTTGTTGTCTTGTTCTGTTAATGAATGTTTATGGTTATCATAGAGACTATTACATGGAGTATGTCTCAGCCGTTTTCCATATACTCACACAATCAAAACTTTATACTTGAACTTTTCTTACTTAAAATTATACTTTGCCAATTTTTACCCAGGTCTGTGTCACCATGATGTAAGGAGTGTGTGCCCTAGCCACCTGTTTCTGGAGCTCCCCGCCGTCCACCAGCCAAAATTGCGAAACAGTGAATGAAGTAAAAGGCGTCACTGATGAAGCAAAATAAAGCATTTCCAGGTGCTGGTCATGTGGGGGGAAGCTAAACACTGTTCATTTTCACACATTTTCCACACTGCGTTGACACAAACATGGTTGAAAAAAATGTCCCTTAAAAGGAGTCCTAATTCAAATGCTGTAGACCCAGACAGACTCAAACATAGAGAGAGAACACCAAATTGAACCTGAAGGTATAGAAAAAACCCTGACTCACTGAGAATTCATTTAATGTGGACCTGGCCCGGGGTTGCGCCTTGGATATTAGCAACTGAGTAGACCTGTGAAGTCCTCCACTTTATACTGCAGCACTGTAAATTCTACTTTGTACTAAAGTTGGCAGTGTATTATTGTGGCAGTTAGTATTCAAGAAACTAGTATACTGTTTTGAAGTAACAGGAAATGATACAAGATATGTGCTGGTATCCTGATGCTACTGCCACTTTCACATTACTATTCCTTATATAGCTGGTTAAAAGAAACGCCATCTGAGAATTTTATTTTGTGTGTATATTTTTGTTTTCTGAGCTGTTTCCATCCACCATTCACCTTCTACTGTTTTTTTCTTACTGTAAATAAATAACGACGAAAAGTTCCTGAACCGCAGCCAAATTAACTTTGTAGGAGGCGCTGGAGTTAAAATGACCATCTGTTGACTCACCATTCCTACCCCTCTCTATGCATTAATGGCATCCCTTTGCTTCTTGCTTATGACAGATTTATGTAATAATTTGTTGTGTTAAGTGCAAAATTACAGTTTTTTAAATTACCATAAATCTTTTGCCACACATTGAACCTGGTGCCTCAGAGGGGGCCCTGGGGGTCAGGGGCCCTGAGCAGCTTCTAAAGCACTGACTCAGAATTAAGTAGTTGTGCTAAAAAAAAAAAAAAAAAGATAGTTTATCGTATTGAAGCATTCGATTCAGTCAAAATGACCTCAGCGGGACGGCTCTTGATATTGTACTGTATGAAAGACTGATGAAACAGTGTGTGAGAATAATAGTACCCACTCACATTAAGATTTTGTTCAGTAAAGGTTAAATGATAAAATGACGACCTGTAAACATATTCAACAGTTGTGCTCCACTATGGCAGACTGATAATCAAAGCCGTTGTTCAAAGTAGGCATGACACCTCTGACCTCATGTCTGCATAGTGCTCTGTCTGTGTATACTTAGGGTTGCAGCGATATACCGGTTTTTAGGTTTTCTGTAATATAAAATTTGACTGTTATCATACTTTTTGCTTTGCCGCGATATTGGGAAAAAATGCAACTGGACATTAAATCTCTCCTTAATTTTTAGTTATATTCAAATGGAATACTTTTTACAAATATTCCCATTAAGAAAGTGGTTCCAAGTTTAAAATAAAGTAATAAAACGTTTGTTCAACCAAAAATAACATTTCTTTTTCATTCCTTTGAGGGTCACTCTGACTGATAATAATATACAGTCTATGATACCATGAAATTGCGTTATTTTCTGAGATGGTTATCGTACTGTAAAAATTCCATAACGTTGCAACCCTAACACTTAATTCTTTGCACTTCATTTGATAAAAACATATTTTGACCCATGAGTTATTGCAACAGAAGACTACCAGTGACCTGAGATTGGAAAATTATAAATATATATATGTTATGCTTATTCAGGCAATGGGATGGCTGTCAGAAAGGGGAGTTACTCATACAGTAGACTGAGCACTGTTTGTGAAGTTTGAGTGAAAAGACAATTCTGTGTATTTTGCGTCCCATAAACGTGCCTAAAATCAATCACATACTGGTTGCCCATAGGTGTCAATGTGAGCGTGAATGGTTGCCTGTCTCTACGTTTTAGCCCCGCGAAAGTCTGGAGACCTGTTTAGGGTGTACGCTGCCTCTCGTCCAATGTCAGCTGGGATAGGCTCCAAACCCCCCGTAGTAAATGAATGTATATAGTGAATTAATCTTGACAAGTGTCCAAAAATAGGTTTGGGGTCAGCAGCCCATTTCCTCTTCTCTGTGATCAGTTTCCCTCCAAATGAACAAAGTGTAAGAAACTCTGGTCCACCTTGTTGCCTTCAAAATAAAGAGGAGGCTATTATTGCAGTGACACCAATAGCTCAGTTTTTCTCTGTGCAGAGGTGTTTGTTTTTACTTGTTTGTTGTCAGCTCTGCCTTTAGGCATGCTGCAGTATGCAGTACAGTACAAAATAACTAATGAGTATCTACAAATTGAATTACCCTTTGATATCTGGGTCAGTATTTTAATTATTTATGTGATATTCATTATCTTGTCATAGGTTACTAATGTTGTTTTTACCTCCCTGAGCACTTTGTTTTTGTCTGTGATAGTCCAGAGGGGTATTCCAGGTAGGAGGTTCAACAAACTCTGAGTCTAACCCTGAACTCTGAGTTAATTTACCCTGAGATGGGAAACTCTGAGTTACCGGTTCCAGAACAGCTGATTTGAGTTAGTTCAGTCAACTCTGAGTATGTTCACTCTGAGTTAAGCCGACAATAAAAAGCCATCATCAATGGAGCTCCGACTCCACGATTCACCATGGCAACAGGTAAATAAAAGACAGCGCCTCCATTTTAATCCAGTGGATGTAGAGATATTAATGCATGTGTAGCAGACGGTGCACGTTTATCTTTAAAAGAAGAGCCTGAGTCAGAGCGAGGAAAGTGTCAATAAGTTAACCATAAAGTTAATAAAAAAGTTTACTCATCATTTATCAGACTTACATTTCCTTAATGAAGATAAAGTGGTGGAATCTGACTGTGTATCAGGCTGTAGATACATTACATTATATTAATAATATATAATAATATATTTGTTCAGATTTAATCTGATGGGGAAAAACACAGGAGGCAGAAGATTTAAAACATATAGGCTAGGCTATAGATCAAAGACATAAAGACATGACTGTAAACTCACAGTCTGACCCAGTAATAATATGTTTGGTGATTTGCACTTGAAAAGACGTTGAGGTTAAAATACAGTAGATTTTAAAATGTTGCACATCTATTTGTATCTTGACTCAACAGCATTCAGTGACTTTATTTCAGCTACAAATGTAGTAAATTTAAAGACAGTGAAATGCTGCACCATTGCTCACTCAGAAATATGAACATATAATCCCCAATATTAGGATATAGGAATTATGTTCCATCAGTGCGACCAGTGACATCAGTGACAGAGATCATTAGTCATTGATACTACGTGTCTAAAGCTTCATACCCATTTTTAAAATTTAAATAATTAGACCTACACATTATGTGCAATAAACATTTGGGAGCTGCTCTAACAGACTGACAGTCTGATCCTTGTGCACAGTGCACTGTTAGCAATTGATGTAATTTCTACAGTAAATCTTACAACAATGCATTGTATTTATTTAGTTTTTACTGTAAATGGCAATGCATTATGGGACATTTATTGACAGTCTTGTAACATAAAAAAATTGCTTAATAAATACAAAAAGGACAGAGGTTTGATTCTGAGCTGAGGGTGACTTCTCGCTGTGTAATATTTGAATGTAAAGACAAAAGCTGATGTCCAAAGAAATGATTGCTGTGCATAAATTCAGCAACTTAAGACAGTCCTGAGTAACAAACTAATATCCAGCAGGATTTAGACTGTGACAGACGGTAAATCTCCGCTAATTATTGCGCTTCCATACAAGCTCTGACACGGACTGAATGAATGAGGAAATGAAACAGCGTGTAAGAGGGAGGAGACAGAGAAAAACCTGACCACTGAGCAGGTTAGGTTCACAGACTCAGTTGCCATGGTGATTGACTCAGAGTTTGATTTACCTCTCTTTGTGGAACTGAAAACCCAGAGTTTCCCTCATTTCAGGGTTAACATAGGCTACTCAGAGTTTTCACTAAACCCGCTTTCTGGAATAGCCTACCCCTCGGGCCCTATTTCAGAAAGCAGGATTAGTGAAAACTCTGAGTAGACTATGTTGAGCCTGAGATGAGCGTTTTCCGTTTCACAAAGCCAGTTCAGTGAAACCCTGAGTCAGTTACTATGGCAACTTACTCCGCGAAGCAAACCTGCTGGCTCGCAGGCTGATCGCTCGCTGAGCGTGTAGCAGGAAGGAGAAACATGGCGTGTCCTTTATTAAATGAGGTCGTGGACGTTGGGGCACAGTTTATTCAGAGACTGATGCGGAAAGAGAGGATGATTAGACCCAGTTTGGATGTCTGCCCGGAGGAGCTGTAGCCTATGAAAGATACAATTTCACATCATGCTCTAGTAGCCTATAATTTATCTTAACAATCTGTTTCACCCAGATATATCAAATATATTACACATCGTGGATTTACATTATCATCGGAGCAAATTTTATGCATTGCCCTTTGATTCTTTTCTTTATAACATCAGAGACGCTGAACACATCAGAGAGACAGCGGATTGTCCGGCTGTAAGAAAAGTGACGCTGGCTCTGAAAGGACTTTTACCCGTTTTTATCGTTTTCCCTGGACATAAATCAGATTCGATTGTCAACATAAATAGTACGAGGCCTCGGTGGAATAGTGGACAGTGCGGACGCCCCACGCTCAGTCCGAGATGCAGCGGCCGCGGGTTCAAACCCAACGTGCAGCCTCTCGCGCGTGACGTTCCGTCTCTCTCCCTTAACGTTATGCTTTTTTAATTATGTTTTGCCATTAAAGGCAACAAAAGCCCAAGAAATAATCTATGAAAAAAGAGGAATTCCACAGAACTGTAGGTTTGTCAGTGTTAATAAGAAATTAATCTACATGATGTAATGATTCATAAAAACTTTTCATATAGCCTATTCAAAGATTCCGCGGTGTAACTGGCTCATTTAGCCTATGGGGCTCAACATCCCATCATAACTCCATCTGAGAATAAAGGAGATTACGTGAATCGGAAGTCATTTCACAGCAATTCAATTAACCTCAGCCTAATATTGACAGAATGAAGAAAGTATAAGCAAAACTTTTACCAGTCTGTACAATATCTTTGTATTTGATTTTGAGTGGATGCCTAGTGTGCTTGGGCTCACAGCTGAGTATGAGGATATAGCAAATTATATTAAAATATATGAACCCTGTTAAGATATAAAAAAATGTTTCTATATTATCTGTAGATTAAGCACGCATTAGCGCATCACATTACATAATATTAGCCTACATCACTTAACATTACCTATTAACACACTGCAATCTTTTCCCATCACACCTCACGCTGTTTAGCTGCAGCTGAGGTAATAGAATTTTTTCTTTTCATGTCTTCACATTCATGGTCATCAAAATCTCCGATTCAGCTGGGATGAAACAAGTGGCTTTCTGCTTTCTGCCACTGGGAATCATGTCATCTGCGCTCCACTGATGATGTCTTTTGGTGCTCGCCGTGAACGCGCTTCCCTCGGGCTGAACATAGGCTACTCAAAATTGATTGAGCTAATTCTGATCAGCTGTTCTGGAACCGAAAACTCAGAGTTTCCCAGCTCAGGCTCGGTCAACCCGGATATCGGGACTAGACTCAGAGTTTGTTGAGCCTATTTTCTCAAAAAGGGCCCAGCAGCCACTACTGCCACAAATACAATGGAAGGCTTAGTCGTTATCAGAAAAAGTAGATAGCACTT